CCCAACTTCCTTCCCTGTCAGCCTGATCACCCCCAACTTCCCCCACCCTGCTGGCCTGCTTGCCCCAAACTGGCCCCCCCTGCTGGCCTGCTTGCCCCCAACTGCCCCCCCCACCCCCCCGCCGGCCTGATCACCCCCAACTGCCCTCCCCTCCCGGCCTAGTTGCGCCTAACTGCCTGTGCCTCAGCCCCACCACCGTGGCTTTGTCCAGAAGGACGTCCGGAAGGACTCCTGGAAGGTCTCCTGATCTAATTAGCATATTACCCTTTTATTAGTCGGATGTTCTAATTTTTCGTTTATGTTTTTCTTCTCTACTAACTTTGGGATTATCTAGGTCTGGACTCATGTCTTATTTGTTTATGTAGACTAAGTGCCAAAACCAGTGTTGCCATATTTAAGGCACTCAAAAAATGTTTATTAAACAAATGAATAAACATTAAGTTCAACTTGAGTTCAATATTCAAGATGTATAATGAAACTTTGACATCTTATCATTTTGTTGCTATTTTACTATTCATGTTATAAAACCTCTAAAGTATTTGTTTTGTTTATCTACATCACAGTTTTAAGTTTCTACTGGTCTCTCCCTTGTTTTACGTCGCACTTTTTTGACATTTAGATTAAAAAAGTTAATCATGTGTCTGCCTTTCACACTTGTACTAACGAGCTAGCACCTTGAATGTAGGGTTTATATTACTATCCTCAATGTAGTGGGAGGGGGGGTAGAGGGGGAGGGCAGAGCTTCTAATATAATGAAGGCTTAATAAATCCTTAATTTTAATTAGTTAGTTCTGTTAGGTTATCTGGTTATCTGAGTATCCTCTTATCTCCATATCTCTTTCCTCTGATAGGCCTGGCAATTTTGCTTTGTTTTTCTTAGATGTTTATCTTCACCCTGTAACAATCACAATATAGAGATATAGGGAAGCAACTATGCAAGGAAACATTTTCATTTAGTTTTTCAGTGTCATATAATGTAAACACTAACTAGTTTGAGTATTTAAATTTAGCTCATGTTATTGTCCCTCAGACTGAAAAATAACTGTAGATACCCTACAAAACTGAAAGACAACAATGCTAACCACATGGTATCAAAAAAATATTTGAAAACATTGCACTCTACCTGTAATTGGAATATTCCAGTATGAAAATTTCGAGAAATAAAAACACACTGAGAACGAGCTTTACTCTCCACCTCTGATGGTCTTTGGCTGCATCTCTCATCAGTTTCTTTAAATTGGGAATTTTGAAATATTTCTCTGAAAAATATTTTATAGAGGCTGTTATTTAAAATGAATTACATTATAAACCAGTTAAAATTATTTTGTTTCCAATGGTTTTACCACAAGTGTTTAAAATTCAGAATAAATATATTACTAAAAAATTTTAAAGCAAAAATCAATTTATATATTTGCTTCTGATATGTTACTGATTTCACTATAACTATTCTATTCTTAGAATGTAAATTAAACCCCTTCTTATGCAGAGTTAATATTTATAGTTTGAAAATCAACCATGAGTTTTTCTAAATTTAAAATTTTTTCAATTACAGCTTACATTCAATATTATTGTGTTATTCTGTATTGGTCTCAGATGTGCAGTATAGTGCTTAGAAAACCATGTACTTTACAGAGTGGTCCCCCCCCCCCAATATTTTAAGTATCCACCTGCTCCATACACAGTTATTAGAATATTATTGTTTACATTCCCTATGCTGTAATTTACATCTCCGTGACTATTCTGTAACTACCAATTTGTATTAATCCCTTCACCTTTTCACCCAGTCCCCAAACCCCCTCCCCTCTGTCAACTGTCAGTCTGTTCTCTGTATCTAGGAGTCTGTTTCTATTTTGTTTGTTTATTTTGTTCTTTAGTTTCCATATATGAGTGAAATCATATGTAACCATGAGTTTTTTATATCCTTCTTCCTGGTTGAGAGATAATTGATTGGTTTTGATGTTAATTAGTCTTTTCATAAGTTTGTCTTTAATGACAAAGGAAATAAGTGAAATAAAACTCAATGGTCAATTTTATATTGAATAATGTCTCTGACAAAAGTAAATGGAAGGAAACTAAATTGAAACTGATGACTTACAAAAGAAGAGTACCTGTGCTCTTTATCCATACAACCACAAACAATTCTGAGAGAGGGTTTAAAATAATAAGGCAGCAAATAAAACCCCAGATGATCAAAGACAGTTATGTATAAGGGAATGTAGTTTCTAACAGTCATTTTAAACTTAATGATTTAAATCAGGGGTCCTCAAACTACGGCCCGTGGGCCACATGCAAATACAAATATTGTATTTGTTCCTGTTTTGTTTTTTTACTTCAAAATAAGATATGTGCAGTGTGCATAGGAATTTGTTCATAGTTTTTTTTTAAACTATAGTCCGGCCCTCCAACGGTCTGAGGGACAGTGAACTGGCCCCCTGTTTAAAAAGTTTGAGGACCCCTGATTTAAATAATAATGTTAATTGCCATTTCTTCTTTCAGAGATTCTAGAGAATTTCCAAATGAATTCTAGAGTCCATATATGTTACTTAACGAGGTATTAACACTTAAGGTTTATTCAGTCATTGAATTCAATTACTTAACAGTTATTGAGTACTTACTAAGTGTCAGGCATTGTGCTGGGAGTTGTATATATAGTGGCAAAGGAAAATAAACAGTTACTACACTCATAGAACTGTCATTGCTCTCATGGAATTTAAACACTAGTAAGGAAGACAGACAATAAAATAATCACAAGAAGATAAAAAAATTGCAAGTATGGAAAGTGTTATCAAGGAAAGCTACCTGGTACGGTGTGCATACTATATAATGAAGGGAATTAATCTGGTTAGAGAGGTCAGGGAAGGCTTTCTGAGGAAGGGATAGTTAAATTAACATGTGAAGAAAAGAGAGTAATTGTTAGTGTGGTGCAGGAGGAGAGATGTGGAAGTAAGAATATTCTAGTCAGAGAGAATATCAAGTCCAAAGTCCTAGTGGCCAGATTAGAACATTGTAGTAGAAGCACAGAAAGCAAGAGAGAAAATGGAAGATAAATTTGGGGAATATGCATGGGAAGACCATGTAGGGATGTAAAAGTCATGTCGTTTTTGTCTTTATCCTAAAAGTAATGGTAAATCCTTTATAATATAGTGGGGATGGGGTACAAGGGTGGGGTCACTTTTATTTGGACAATGTCTGCCTTAAGTATGGAGAAAAGATTAAACAAGGGTGATAGTGAAAGTAGGGTGTCACTTATAACTCCTACTGCAGTAGTCTATGTGGGGGATAAAATTCCGATAAGGTAGTGGTAGTAGAAATGGATAGATCTCTCTCTTTCTCCCTGCCCCCTCTTCCTCCATCGCTCTCAAATCAATTAAAACACACACACACACACACACACACCACTCCCTGGTTAGTCTCATCCAGTTCTATGC